AAGCCACAAAGACCACATGAGTAGCTATTCAGGGTTCTAAACATGAACACTGTAAAATAAGAACTTTTGTTAGTTTCTCATGGTGGCTTTCCTACCAGGATTGTGGCATTTTTGTTTTTCTCAACTATGCGCTGCATCTGAGGTCTTTGTTTTTCTTTCAAGACATGGTATGACCTTGCCCAGACTGGCCTTGAACTCCCTGTATAGCTGGTGGTCTTGAATGTCTACCTCCCAGGTGCTGGTATTACAGGCATAAACTACAGTGCCCGATCTCATCAGTGCTACAGATGAAGCCCAGAGCATCATGTATACCAGGCACCTCTACCATCTGAGCATCACCCCTGGTGCATACAGACTTATTCATGGGTTTATTAATCCAGGCTGGCCTCAAACTTGCTACACAGCCAGAGCTGGTCTGAGCTCCCCGTCCTCCCGTGCCCATCCCCATGCACTAAGATTAGGCGACCTCACACATACTAGGCTTGGCGACAGTATCGAGAGATGGCCTGGGATTTTGTTATTTTTTTAAGCATAGATGTCAAAGGTTTTAATTATAAGAGTTACTGTACACATTTAATAGGATTTACTCTAAAGCTTCAAAAATCTGTAAACATATTAGGTCTGTTGATCACATTAGTATTTGTAAGCCAGGCACAGTAGGCAGCTCATTACATTACGGAGAAACATCATTCTCCGTAAGAGACCTTTGGAGCCAGACAGAGGTGGCACACTTTTAGTCCCAACACTAAGGAGGCAGAGGCAGGTGGAGCTCGGTGAGTTCGAGACCAGCCTGGTCTACTGAGTGAGTTCTAGGACAGCCTTCAAAGCTACAGAGAAACCGTTTCAGGAAAAAGAAAAAAAAAAGAAAAAAAAAAAAAGAGGCCTTTGAACTTCTCAATGAAATGAGTGATTCCAGAACTGGGCAGGGAAATAGAAGTTGGTCCTTGAAACTGTTGTTGTGCCTGATGGTTGAGATGTGAGCCAGCTGATGGGGAGCTTAGGAGCCTCACGCTGGTCAAATACAGGACAACTTGAGCATAATCCTAAAACTTTAATTATGGTAGTAATTATAACACACTGAATAAATGAATTATTAGTCATTGTGACATCCCACATAAAAGAAGCAGGAAGCCCCTTACAGAGTGCTTTCTGATACGGACTGGATAAACAATTAGAAAATGGCCATTTCACCAACCCCCACTATCACAACACATCCAGGCAAGAGTACCCAGGGATATTTATAGTATTAAACATTACTCACAGCCACCCCACCTTGTTATCATAAAGAGATACAGAAGGCTTTACAACACAAATACGTGACAATAAAACTTTAAGTGATCAAATGTAATATCAGTAAGAATGGTAGAAACAGGCCATCTGTGCTTCCTCACAAAAGGTCATCGCAAAGTGCATACATTATCAGTACATTATTGTTTCCCAGGATGAATCCAGGACTGGGAGAAAATCAAGTAGGATATTATTTGGGACAAGTAGATATTCAAGATGGACTGTATTCGAGATTGAAGTCTTGCATCAATATTTGATTTTTTGGTTGGGGGGCATGGTATATATAGCTCAATGGTAGGGAACCAATCTTCAGTACCAAGAAAAGAATGTATGTATGTATGTATGTATGTATGTATGTATGTATGTATATGTTTTTGGTATACTTTTTAGGCATTATAATGGCAATGTAGTTAAACAGAAGACCATTGAAATAAAAAAACTACATTTACACCAACGGAATAAGTTCTATATAGGAATTAGACAAGCTGCTCCTATCGTGTGTGATTTAAACTCCTTAAAAACCACTCCGCCAATGACTCTGAAAGTAAAACAGGCTCAATCACCCTCCCTAGCCAACCCCACTCCCCCAGTTGGACTGAGGAAAGAACCCTGAGAGCTTGATGACAGGAAAAACAGTAAACACTGGGCCGCAGCACCCACATGAGGGAAACTGAGGCAGAACACAGTTGGTCTCTATAGCCCTGACAGTAACGGTTATAAAATCTCACCAAACTGTGGAGGAACAAAGTCCTGAGAATTTGATATGTAAGGAATAACAAAACACAAAAAGAATCAAAAAAACTAATTTCACAGCATTATATATGTCTGTATTGATACCTTTAATGAACAACATGTTTTATCTTGAACTTTTTTTGAGATCAAGTACTGACAGACTAACTCACACTGGCCTGAAACTCTGTATGTATATAACCTTGGGTGCCTTGAACTCATAGCAATTCCCCTGCCCCAGCCTCTTGAGTGCTGGAATTACAAGATGGAGCTCAGCCATCATATCTAGAGTATTGACCTCATTAGGTTCTCTCCTGCCTTGTTTCCTGTGAGCTGCTTCTGTCTCTTAGCACAGCTCTTAGGGGTGGCAAATAGGAGCTGCAGTTTTTTCCATCCTCTAGCACAGTGAGATAGCTTATCTTTCGAGCAAACTATACCACACACTCTTGCTTTACCTGTTGGGTAGCACACACACATATACAACATCTGTATTTACCCCCAATACCTTCTGATGGCCTTCTTTTTCCTCCAGACCATTTTTTTCCTACTGGCCCCCAGTGGCAATGGCACCATCTCCCACAATGACCCGTACAACAGTCAACAGTCCCCAGAAGTCAAGCAAGGCTTGACTTGTTTTCCATGTGGATTCCCTATTTTGTGGTTTCAGACTCATAATCTAATGCAGACATTTTTCTTCTTGGAAAAGCAAGCAGTCTTCCAACAGAGTAAATGATGGCTCTCACTGCATGCTCAGCATCGCAAACAGGGATGAGCCAAGGAGCTGGCTACATCTCTTGGATTCAGAACACTATTCTGCTGCTCAGTGAAAATGACTCAAGAAAAAGAAAAAGAGAGGGCCAAGCTGCTGCCTTCCCTTCAGAGGGTTTCCCCAAACCCGATTCTTTCTGGCTAAGATGGCACAATATGCCCACCTAGCTGCAAAGGTCGGAAGAGAGAATTTTCTTTTCCCTCTTCATTGAGCAGTGCCAGGCTCCACAGCAGAAAAACACAGTAAGGGGCTCGCTCAGTCTTTGAGAGCACTGGCTGCTCCAGAGGACTCAGGTTCAATTCTAAAAAGCCCCAGGAGGTTCACAACTGATTGTAACTTTAGTTTGGAAATCTGATACTCTCATCTAAGAGCACTGTATTGCACATGATACACAGACAAGACAGACATGCAGGCATAAACCCACAAACCTACACAGAAAATAAATCTTTAAAAAAAAAAAAAAGACAGTAAGGAAAGGGAAAATAGTTATCAAACAAACCATGGGCCATATTCTTTTTTTTTTTTTTTTCATCTTTTTTGAAGATTGTTCCTGAGACCTAATGATTAATTTGCAATTATAATGTCAAGCTGGTTGCATTTGGAGAGCTGTCTCAGTGGTTAAGAGCTCCTCAAAGGACACGAGTTTGGTTCCCAGTACCCAACATCAGTTGGCTTAAAACACTTGGAACCCCAGGTCTAGGGAAGCTGACACTCTGGCCTCCATAGGTACCTGAATTCACATTCACATACCTATACACAGATACACACACAGGCATGTAATTAAGAATCAAATTGTCTGATAGGATGGCACAGGCCTTTAATCCCGGCACTAAGGAAGTAGAGGCAGGTGAATTTCTGAGTTCAAGGCCAGCCTGGTCTACAGAGTGGGATTCAGGATGGCCAAAGGTACACCCTGTCTTGAAAACAAAAACAAAATAATACTTTTTTAAAAAGTAAAGATCAAGTTATGCATCTGTAATCTCAGCACTCAGGAAGCTAAAACAGGATTGCAAATTTGAGACCAATGTGGATAAACTAGCAAAGTAAAACAAAAGAAAGCAACAGAGAGGCCGGGGTGGGGCTTAGTGGTACAACACATGTTTAGCAGGTCCGTGGCCCTGGTTTCATTCCAGCACCAGGAATAGGCTGTAACAGATTTCCACACCAAAGACGCACTACCCCAATTTTATCAGATAAGAAAACTGAAGACTGGTTCTGAACTCTTTAAAGTCTGAAATTGAGAAGAGAGTGGAAGTAACATTCTAAATATGACAATTTGTGGATTGTTTTACAAGTCCTCCATGTTTCTAAATCCATTTGTACTCAGTGTGAAGTACCTGTAATTATAATTGAAAGCCATTCATCCACTCATTCAAATCTGCATTAAGCTGTCTGCCATATGTACAACCCTGCATTAACAGCTGATGGAATACAAATTCGACCCTTTTCAAATGATGCCACCTCTAAAGGATGTAGCAATCTAATAAGAGTGGCAAGTAATTTAACATGAACCCCAGCTGAGAACACACCTTATGAAGCATAAAGAAGCGGCTGGGAGATGCTGTCACCCGCCTTTATTATTAGTCCTTTGTAAAGCTAATTGTTAGACAGGCAATGTCTTACCCTGTAGCACCTTAAACATTAGTTAGAATTTTCAAGATTAAACTAAATCTTAAAAGAGACAGTAAGTTTGTAACAGAGTGTAAAGAGAACATTAAATCAGCCGGGCATTGGTGGCACCCACCTTTAATCCCAGCACTCAGGAGGCAGAGGCAGGTGGATCTCTGTGAGTTTGAGCCCAGACCGCTGGTCTACAAGAACCAATTCCAGAACAGCTTCCAAAGACAGAGAAACCCTGTCTCAAAGAAACCAAAACAAAAAACAAATAAACAAAAAAAAATCACATTATATCTTAATAGAGACAGTAAGTTTTTAACAATGCCTACAAAGTTAGGTACAAATAAGAGCAATAAAGATTAAATTTGAATTACTTTTAGGATTTTCCTTTGGCATGCTAGGATCACAATTTCAGCATGTTTAGATCAGAGACTTGTATCTCTGAATTAAGATTACCACACACGATAAGCAGTTTGCCATGCACACCTTTAATCCCATCTCTCAGGAGGCAGAGGCAAGTGGATCTCTTGAGTTCCAGGACAGCCAGGGATACATAGAGAAACCTTGCCTCAAAAACACAAACAAGCAAAAAGATTACCACGCACAAATGCCATAATTACTCTATAAGCAATAATACACAGGATTTTTTGAGTAGTATAAATTATTTTAACACTTTACCTATCAAAAACAATTTGGGGGACTAGAGGTATAGCTCAATGGTAGAATTCTTGTAAGTATGTGTGTGAGCCCTGGATTTAATCTCCACGAAAAAAAAAATGGTTAAAAAAAAAAAAAAGCCACAGTATAGGTAATTTAGCAGTAAATTTTAAATGCAAAAATTACTGTAAATTTCTAAGTACCTATTTTTTCCATATATTACTTATTTTAAAAAATGGTTCAGAGAAAAAATTGAAAATACTTAGTAAATTTCAAAATAGATCTTCAAAAGCTAATAGTTCTCTCCATACCAAACTCTTTGTCCCTACCAAACATAAACGTACACTTCCAGAACTAACCCATTTATGACAGCTGTGGTTCTCCAACCCCCAAACACTTTGAAAACACAGCCCTGCATGTGTGAGAGTTGTCCCCACACATGATCCTGTCACCACAGTGCAGGGCTGAGGTCCTGCGGCTTCGCACAGAAAGGCTCGGAGAGAGGAAAGCTTGTGATTCAGGTTCATTCTTCAGAATTTTCTTCTCTACCTTCTTTAATCTCTTCAGCATTTTCCTTGCAAGAATCCTGGCTATTGGCATCAATAAAATAGTTTTCTTTTTCATTCTCTCCTTCTTCTTCATAAGAGCTAAAGAAAGAAATGTAACCAATCTGTCAATGAGAAATACGTGACCAAGCCACCATGTAGCTGGTGCCCTTCCAGTCCACAAGCCCCCACAGCGACCAGAACTATGGAACCATGGGGAATTAAATATTCCCTGACAACCAGTTTATCTTGAAACTTGACTCCTTTTCTTTCTTTCTTTCTTTGGTTTCTGGAGACAGGCTTTCTTTGTGTAGCCCTGGCTGACCTGGAAGTCACTCTGTAGACAATGCTGGCCTTGAACTTACAGAGATCCACCTGCCTCTGCCTCCCCAGTGCTGAGATTAAAGGTGTCCACCACCGACTGGTGAGTCCTCATATTTTAATCTTAAGCAGCCCTCCCTCTATACACACACACACACGTATATACACACATATATACATACATATATATACAAGAAATACACATATACAAGAAATATAAGCTTGCTGTCAGGACAAAATATTTTATCACTGTGATATTTATAGTGTGTCAAACATGATAAAATACTAGAATGCACTTCCTCAAGTAAACGATTTTAAAACAGTAGGAAAGTGTACAGCGTGCTTCCCTGCAGTGCGATACCTTTCTTTATCCGATGACGTGGGGCTTCTCAGCTCTTGTGTGGCGAAGCTCGCAGGCGCCTTCCCACCTCGGCCTTTCTCTGAAACAAACTCCTCAGACAGTCCTAGTGCTTTTAGCGTGTTAGAATAGCGCTTTTCTGCTGCCATCCTTGCATTTCTCTACAGGAGACACAAACCTCTTTAGATGAGCACAAACACTGTTAGGTTTCTATTAAGATGTACGGATTTAAAAGCACCAGTGGAAACTACGATGACAGTCTCAGCGACAGAAATATGCTTCTTCTATGACTGACATCTTTTGGCATGAACCAAGAGCGGATAGGTACAAGAACGCTCAAGGCAGTATTGTCTGTAGTAACTGAGCACCGTGAACAGCCCAAAGCCTGGCAATATTTGGACAGGTGAGTAAGCTATACTACAGTCACAAACAGAAAAATGAATCAATGAAAATGGCAGATAATTTACAAATGTGACAGTGAGCAAAAGGGACCCTCAGAAGAACACAAAAGCATACATCTAGTAGACTGGATATTCACTGTAAGTCCAGAAACAGGAAAAACTAGAAACAAAGCAACTGATCCCAAGTTAGAGGCGATGACTCCAGAGGAGGCTGATCTGCAATGACTTGTCATACTGTGGTCACCTTTTCAGAATGCATTAAGACACCCCAGGAAAGATCGATAAGGAAAGAGAATAATTAGTCTCCTGTGATGCAGACCCAGGGCGTAGGAGGCAGAGGCTGGGATACACTTTCACAGCTGGCCTGGCTTACATGAGTTCCAGACCAGACGGCAGGGATATACAGCAAGACCTGTCTAAAAAACAAACAAAGGGCACGTGTCTGCTTCACCTCAGATGCAGGAACACGTGGCAGTGGCTGGATGGCTCTTTTGTGTACCCAGTGCAGTTCTGTCTTTATGTGCCAGGGACTTTAGGCCATCAAAGATAAAATCATCCACACTGCTATCTTTACTTGATGGAAGAAAAAGGAGATATTTAGAAGTGAGTTCAAATATCTTGGATGTCACTTCTTGGAGGTCCACAGGAATTTCACTGACCCTTTCACAGTTGCAGCTAATTGAGGGCTAGGATGCAGATCACCAGTAGAGGGGTGTTTATACAGGCATGCTTAGGCATGCTTGAGGCTCTGGGTTCATTCCCTAGCACCAAGAAAAACCAAACCACAGAACAAAAAACCCAAACCTTAAAAAAAAAAGAAAAAAAGCTTCAATCCCAGCCCAAGGCAGGTGAAGCAGACGGCCTGGCCACCAAGCGGAAGGGCCACACAGCAAGATACCGTGTGGAAAACACAAGGCACAGTTGTCACAAGTTGAAAGTCAGCCCTAGCTAACAGACTTCAAGTAGCTACATGGTGACAATGTGCTCAGAGTGTTGGCCTGAGCTCAGTCTTAGCTCTTCTGAGTGGATTCTGAGTGGATCTTATGGGAAGGAGATCTGGGGCCAGGAATTCCCTCTGCACCTCCACCTAAAGCAAGGTTTATGAGGAACAGCGCAGTTCCGGGGACCAAAGGCACCCCATATGCAAAGTGACAGTGCCCATCAACACCCAAGAAAACAGGAAACCACAGTTGCTCAATCTAGGGTTCTGCAGGAGAAGCCAAAACAGCAAAGATGCCTTCCCAGAAGCCCCGGGGGACTGAAAAAGGCACACAACTTCAAATTTCTGCTGATTTCACCACTGTTGATGACAACAGTTGTTTTTTGTTTGTTTGTTTGTCTGTTTGTTTGTTTTTCAAGTCAGGGTTTCTCTGTATTGTTTTGGAGCCTGTCCTGGAACTAGCTCTGTAGACCAGGTTGGCCTCGAACTCACAGAGCTTCCCCTGCCTCTGCCTCCCAAGTGCTGGGATTAAAGGCGTGTGCCACCACTGCCCAGCCGACAATAGTTTTTAAACAATGCAAGTGAGACAGAGTCTCACTGTGTAGTACTGGCTGTCCTGGTCCTATGTAGACCAGGCTAGCCTCAAACTCACAGAGATTCACTTGCCTCTGTGCCCAACCCCCAAATGCTAGGATTAAAGGAATGCACCACTATATTAGACTAACCAAATCCACAAACTCTAGGTTCACTAAAAGCCTTTGCCCTGAAATTCAAAGGAAGACTGACTGAGGAAGATACCTAATATTGACCTCTGGTGTACATGCACACACGCACACACATACACACACACACACGCACACACACACACACACACACTCGTAAGAGTAAATGTTCCCAGAAGCTGTAGAATACCAACAAGTCATGGTGAACTGAAAACCAAGCATGAAATGAGAACTGCCCCAGAGACAGTTCAAGCGAGTAAAGGAAGTAGAGACAACTCTGATGCACTGAGCATGCCCTGGGTTAGGCACACCTATTGGGACAGTGCTAGTCTAGTCCTCACAGACTCCGGGATTCAATCCTAGCACCATGTAAACCAGGAGTGGTAATACAATCTGCAATCCAGAAGGCAGTGGAACAGAGATCCAAGGTTGTCCTTGCCTTCATAATGAGTCTGAGGCTACATGAGACCTGCCTCAAAATAAGACTGACTTTCAACTTGTGGCAACTCTGCCTTTTTTTTTTTTTTTTGGACAGGATCTTGCTATAAATATCCCCCCCACCCCCAACACACACACACACAAAGTAAAGATAACAGTATTGATGATTTTATCTTTGATGGTCTGATGCCATGGCATATAAGGATTTAGATCTGGGTGGTGATGAACACCTTTAATCCCAGCACTTGGGAGGCAGAGGCAGGTGGAATCTCTGTGAGTTCGAGGCCAGCCTGGCCTACAGAGTGAGTTCCAGGACAGCCAGGTCTACACAGAGAATCTCTGTTTTACAAAACCAAAGCCAGAGAGTGTGGTATCTACCAGTCTGGCAGGGCCAAGGGCAAAGGAAACAAAACAGGAGAATGAAGCCAGAGATGGCTAAAGAGGCTAAGAGGAGGGCTGGGGATGAAGAGGGTAAGGGGATGGGGGATTATTTGCCCTGCAGTCATGAAGCTCTGAGTTTGATCCCACATAAAATCAGTTGTGGTGGCACACTTGTAAATCCAGCACTTGGGAAGTAGAGGCAGGAGTCAGAAATTCCAGTTCACCTTGGCTTTGCAGGAGTTTGAGGCCTAAGATACATAGGACCAAGGCTCCCAAATAAAGGCTAGCAAGAAGCACAGGGAATTTCACCACTGTGCTGTGGGCTGGAAGCTCATCCCCTGGGAGGAAGGGTTAAGGGAAGTAGATCGACCCAGGTTCTGACCCTAGTTTGCCATTTACTAACTACAAACATGACTAGTTCCCTTCTTTGGACTTGAGTTATACGGTTGCCTCCTCTTCCAGGTAATTTTGGGGAAGTTAACTGAGACCTCCCCTGAAAATAACAATGGGATCCATGGGAACAGACAACTGCACAGTTGTCAAGATGTACTAACTGGCACCCATTTTGACAGAATGGGAAAGCAGAAAGATCTGATTTTTGGTATTTAATGCTGTTAGGCCTGGAGAGACGGCTCAGTGGCTAAGAGCACTTACAGAGGGCCTAGGTTCAGTTCCCAGCGCTCATAACTTCCAGGGGATCCAGAGCCCATTGGTCTCTGCAGGCAATGCAAACACATGGAGCACAGACATGCATGCAGGCAAAACACTCACAGCCATGAAATAAAATAATTTAAATAAACATCAAATGTAAAATGTTTTTAAGAGACAGGGTCTCACTAAATTGAAGACACTAGTCTCAAAGCACATGAATTAATTCATCAACGATCTTTCAACCACATCTTGAAGCCTCACCAGAATAGCAGAACCAGGCTGATTAAAAAGATAACGCACACCTTTAATCCCAATGGGAAGCAGAGGCAGATGGGTCTTAGTGAGTTCAAGGCCAGCCTGGTCTACAGAGTGAGATCTACACAGAGAAACCCTGTCTCAAAAAAACAAAACAAAACAAAACAAACAAACAAAAAGGCCGGGCACTAAAAGCAGACTGTGGCAGGAATGTCTTGAGGCACAATGGGTTAACGGAAGTTTTTTTTATTGAGCCTCATCAGTGGATTGGATGAAGCTGCCTTGGAAACAGTGTCTCAGCAACAGCAGGACATGTGAGAGACATGAGGCTCAAGCTTGGAAGCCAGAGGCGCTGAGCAACAGAAAGCTGGGGATGGGTCTACATCCCCACAAACACAACCTGGGCGACTCTCTGAAACAGCAAGGGCCTCTGCTGCAGCCTGGCTTCTCGCTTTTCCAGGTCTCGCCGATACTCCTCCATCCTTTCCTTTTCACTCCTTCTACAATCAGAGAGAGGGAATGGCGTTTTACAAGGTCAGCTATGGAAGCTACATTAGGACATTTACTTCAGCAGACACATCAGAAATTCAGAGTGCACAGTTATTCATCAAAGTAAGCTCTATCAGTGGGCTAATGCTATACAGTAAAGCAAATATATGTATTTGGTTCTTATAAATCAGATGAAAGGTTAAATCATATTACTTACCCAGCTTTGGAGGAGAGGTTTTCTTGCTTAAACGTGATCATTTGCATGTGCAATGTTTGCAACATTAGTGGTTTTCAACTCTGCTCGAGGGAATTCTAGTATTCTGCAGCTGCTGTTAGTTGTCACAGGGAAATAGTCACAAGGTACAGTGTGTACCCACAATGCACTCTCTCAAGTCACTTATTTAAGTGAAAAAATATTCTTGGCTGAGCTGTAGCTCAGTGCTAGAGACTTTTTTCAATGATGTATTGTACAATCACAAGTAATGCAAATAAGGGTAGCTTGGTTATAGAGTGTGCTTTGTTGGCATGGATGAGGTCCTGGGTTCGACCCACATATTCCCGGCGCCATATACATATGTGAATATATGTATGTATATATGCCAAACATTTATGTAATATATAAGAGTGCACACATATAAATAAAAAGGTTTTATGCTGGTATTTAAAGCATAGCTATTAACTATGGCCATAACAGAAAATGTTTCTGTCCCACACAGTCTTGTGACTTTTGTTCTGGAGGTGAGTATGTGCACATATGTGTATGAAAAGTTGAGTTTGTTTAAAGATTGTTTAAATCCATAAATTAAGATGTGCACCATTTTTATATCTAAATATTCACTGGCTAAAAAGAAGAAAAGGAAAGATAGGAAAAGATAGAGAAGGGAAGGGGAGGGGAGGGGAGGGGAATAGGAAGGGGACGGAAGGGGAAAGGAAAGAATCGAGTTTGGAAGCCAAAGTCGGCATTTGAGGACTCTTCCCAGATACCTGCGATGGTTTACTCTGGATTTAGACATCTGGGCTAAGCCCTGATCTGAGTCATAAGCCTTAACCCGGGTTGCCACGAGTTTCTGCAATTCTTTCATTCTTTGCTTCTGTTTAGTTAGGATCCGATTTCTCTCTTCTTCCAACATTTTCTTTTCTTCAAGCGATTTCCTGAGGGCAATAAACTAAGGCTTAATTCCTTTTAAGCCAAGGAGAAAGTTGTCCAGCAAAGATTTAACCTGGGATAACTCAGAGGCTGAAAAAAGAGGTAACCTTTTGATCAAACTCTGACTCGTGCAATTGGAAACCCAAGTGACACTGATGGTGTAAACTTGTCTATGCCCAGGGATAGACAAGTTTGTTTTTTAGGAGAGCATTCCTAGCAAATGATTCTCCACCATATGGTATAATAACTTACAGAGAAGCCAGCAATTTCAGATTTACCAAACTAAAACCCACAGGGATATACCAGCACAGGGACCATATATCCGACAGCACACTTCCCAGGGCCTTACCTGATGGCTTGTTCCCGCCCTTGGGAAGACAGGGTGGGCATTGGAGGGCTGCACGGGCAAGGCCTGGGCTTTGTGCACGTACTTCTTCCCGGTGACTTACACCTCGGAGAAGGGTAAGGCCAGCATGTTTCATTTAGATTTTTTTCATCTGCTCTAATGTCTGCCAAGACTTTCTGTCTTTTAGCAGAGTCACACGGGGATTCATGAAGACCACGCTGTTTACAAAGTGGTGAGCCTTTCTGAAAGCTGTGTTCTGAGAAGGGTTCCTTCCATCGTTTCTCAGCAAAGTCTCCATCATCAGGACTCAGGCACCTGCACCTGTATCTACCCCTCGGCTTTCCAGGACTTCCGGAGCCCCTGAAATGTCTGCAAGCTGGCCGACAGGGCCAGGATGAATTCGGCAGCAGGTCTCGGGCCCTTAACTGCGTCCTGATGTCCCTATAGAACTCATCTTCTTTTGACTTGTCATTTGCAGCTGACCTGTAAAGTGAACGAGGCACAGGTCTGGCTTTAAACCGCTTCGTCTTCCTTTTGGACTTAAAGAGGTCTCTCAACTGCTTTTCACGGATTGCTTGCTTCTGCTCCTCCCTGGCAATGAACTTAAATGGCTTCTGGGAGGCCAGGAGTGCGGCTTTGTTTCTCTCCCTGGCAGTCCTCCTCCGCTCTTCATTCTGCCTGACCAGATCCTCATAAAGGGGCTGGAGCACACAGGAGGGGACAGGATTGGCTCGGAATTTCTTCTTACACTCTGCATCTTCATCACCATCCCTCTTGGGCAGTCGGCTCTGGAGATCTGACCTTGCTTTCAAGGCCGCCTCTTTCCTCTTCTGCTCTCGAACTGTCATCTGGAAGGGCACAGGCACTGTCACTGTGGGCACCCAGGCTTTGGGTTTCTTCTTTGTTTTCTTAGGTGTTTGGATGTCGGAGTCGTACTGAATATAATCTTCTACAGAAAAGTCAGTCCACATGTTGTTGATGAGCTCCTTGGCATAGGCTGCCGTTCTGCTTTCCCCTGTGGCGTCTCTCTCCAGGCTGGGCAGCTCCTCATCTGAAGTAGTGGACAGGGAGGACGACTGACCTGTGTCAGCCTCTGCATATGGTGTCACTAACAAGACAGGGGGAGGGCAGTTCTTTTCTGATGTAGAACTAAGGAAGAAGAAGAATTAGGGCACACTTTCAATTTTATATGGCCAAATAGTAGAATTTAGTAATTATAATTTTCTACGATAAACGTATAACCAGTTAGAAGAAAGTGGCTGTATAAGGATCATGGAAATCATCATTTTTATTTAGAGTAGAGCTGAGAGGACCAGGAATTATGTAATCAACTCTGTCACTTTGCAGAGAAGGGACCCGAGATGTCAGCCGTACCTCACATCTCATTTCTGCTCATTCCCTCTGTGCTTCCCAGAGCCACCATCTTTAATGCGTCTGGCCAAGTGGCTCCTTCCTGAGGCACTGCTCTTTGCTCTAAGTCTGGACTACCAGTCAATCAGGAGTGGCCTGCCCGTCCCGCCGTCACCTCTGCCTCCCCGAGCCACCGTTCTGAGTTCTCTCACACTGTCTTCTTTCCCCTCCATGCCTGGTACACACAGTTGCTGCTGTCCTGAAGGTTACTCCTTGCTTCCCGTATCTGCTACTCTTATTCCTCCACCAAGCCTGAACTTAGTTGGGCATGCAAGTGCTTGCTATTGGAGGCCAAGACTGGAAGGATATGGAGTTCAAGACCAGCCTCAGCAACACAGTGAGAGCCGTCTAATGTGCACTCAGGATTTGATCCCCAGCATCGTTTGGAGACAAAATTGAACTTCAGTATGGTGCTCTTGTTGAAAATGCTTTCTTGCCTCCCACCAGCAACTGAGCATGAGAAGCTGCTCCTGTTTCTGAGGCCTCTTCGGGTGTCAGATCTCAGACAGGCTGGGCACACAGGAGATGTACAGATAGCTGACCAACTGGATTAGATAAAGGATCAGCTTACAATTTCAAAAGAGCAAGTTCACAGTAGACATAAGCCTTGAAACTAGATTCATTAAAAAAAAAAAAAAAAAAAACAAAAAACAGGAACTAGCTGGGTGGTGGTTAATTCCAGCACTGGGGAGGCAGAGGCAGGAGGATCTCTGTGAATTCGAGACCAGCCTGGTCTACAGAGCTAGTTCCAGGACAGCCTCCAAAGCCACAGAGGAACCTTGTTTCTAAAAACCAAACCCAAACCTAAACCCAAACCCAAAACCAAAACAAAAAACAGGAACCAAAAACTTGTATCTTAAATGAGCTCAAGTTAACCTATTTTAAAAATTAAACTTTAATTTTCATTATTTAAGAAGGCCCACCTGGTTGGGCATGGCGGCGGTGTAGGCAGAGGGAGGCAGAGGCAGATGGATCTCTGAGTTTGAGGCCAGCCTGGTCTACAGAGTGAGTTCCAGGACAGCCAGGGGTACATGGAGAGACTTTATCTCAAACAACAACAAAAGGCCCAGCTCAAACAAGCATGGCTTCGTTCAATAGAAATTCCAGCATCTGGGAGGTGGAGGTGGGTAGGAGTTCAAGGTTATTCTTGGCCATACTGCAAGTTTGAGGCCAATCTGGGATATATGAAACCCTGTCTCAAAAGGAGAGAGAGAAAACAATGGGCATGCTGGCTCATGCTTGTAACCTCAGTGCTTGTGAAGCTGAGGCAGGAGGACTGCCCAGAGTTGAGGTCATACTGGAATATGGTAAGTTCTAAGCCCCACCCTTGACTACATACAGTACAAGATCATGTTTCAAAAACAGAAGAAAGAATGCATAGGCAAAGCGGTCTGGTCTAAATACTTTGATACATATCTGTAAACTTAAGTAAAGCAGGAAAACACAGATGAAGGAGCGAGAGAGACGGCTCAGCAGTTAAGAGCACTTCTAAAGGAGCCGGGTTCATTTCCCAGCACCCACATATCAGCTCACAATTCTACATGGGCCTCGGGCACACACGTGGTGTCGACATACATGCAGTAGAAACACATTAAATTACATTGCAATAAAACAAACAGGCAAACAGATGGCTACCAAATGACCCTCAAAGCAAGAGGTAACTTAATAAACTGATAAGCCATTCAATATTTTGAGTAAAATCCCACCTCGATATATCATTAATATTAGGAAGGACCTAGTTTGTGCATCTTCTGTGTGCCAGGCCTGTCTCAGACCTGATACCCAAAGAGATGCCAGTATGACATGACACTCCAGTGTCTCAGAAACAAGGGCAGCTGTTTCTGATCATGCTCAGTTGATGGTGGGAAGCAGGAAAAGAGTTTCAATAAAAATGTCATACTTTAAAGTTCAGGGTTCAATTCTGAGCTGGGCTTTGGTGGCACATGCCTTTAATCCCAGCACTCAGGAGGCACTCTGTGAGTTCGAGGCCAGCCTGGTCTACAGAGCAAGTTCCAGGACAGGTCCCAAAGCAATACAGAGAAACCCTGTCACAAAAACCAAAAATAAAATAAAAAAAAAAAAAATACAATGCTGGGGATCAAACCCTGAATACATGTTGTCTAACATGTCTAGGCTCTCACTATGTTGCTGAGGACCTGATATTTAGAACCAAATACTCCAGGATATTTTGTTCCATACTTAGTGTAAGTATTTCTAAGTATTTATCTTAGGTCAGTCCGCAGATGACACTGAATGCAAACTTACCAAGAAGAGACACTAGAAGAATCTTCCCTGACAATCACTGGCCAGATGTCCTTTATATTTAGCTTGTCCTGGTACATTTTCTCTAATTTTGCCATGCTTTCTGCATGGGCGGCCTTCAGTTCTTTTAGTTTCCTGAAATACTCTTCATTAGAGTGGTGAATAGCAGAAAAGTCCATAATGTCCTTGAATGTCACACCTTCATTTTCCCCCGGAAAGCTTTTACCACCAGCCTGATGGGAGGAGAAACCCATTATATGCTATTTGAAATGAAGTAAACAAGTTAATCGGTGCTGATCCAAATGCTGGTTCTTACAGGTGTCCCGCTCTGTAGCCCAGGCAGGCCTCAAAGTGATCTGACTGCCTCTGCCTCCCTATCCATGGGGTAAAAGGAATGTTCCACCAAGCCTGACTTCAATCCATTTTATAATGCTTAGGATCCTAGAAAACTGAACATTCAAGTCAGAGCACTTAACCCTGCAGAAGACAGAATGGGACTCGCTACACAGACCTCAACAGGAAGACTCTGCTGAGTCATGTGCTTTAGGAGAGAGAAGCTACTCTTTTGTCCCCAGCGCCAGCTCTCGAGGGACCCCTGCCTCGGGGCTCCAAGGGTATGCAGTAGAGAAAGGGCAGGTCCAGCCAGGGACACAGTTCCCAGTGGCTCTCCAAGGACCCAGGCAGGGATGACCTTGGAGGGGAGAGGAACCCAGGGCAGAGAGTTTGAGAAGGGCCACTGCTGTGGGCAGGGGAGAGTGTGGAGGAGTACTGCTTGCACACTTGTATGCTGGACACACTCCACATACAAGTCAGGACTGTGGGCTCTGACTGGACCTTCTCTCGTCCCTTTTACCCATTGTTCAAGTCTTTTTAACCGATTCAACTAAAGAGATAAAAACCCCACTTTCTAGAGCTGCAGAATCAGCTTAGTTGGTCAAGTGCTTACCATGCAAACATAGAAGCCATAAAAAAGCCAGATGTGGTGACACTGGCACTGGGTAAGTCAGACAGGACCTGAACTCTATCAGTGATTCCCTAGATTCCAGTAAGAGACCCTTCCTCAAACAATAATGATATGTTTTCATAAAAGAAGTCTACTGAGCCTTTCCAATGGAAAAATTCAGACGAGTCCATTGCAAATCACACCTTAGATTGGAGAAGTGCCTTGGATATCAGGTGTCTGCTGAGCATGTACCAAGCTGTGGGTTCCTTCCCAGCACAATGGAAAAGGAGGGGATAGGTGGATGGATAGGCAGACATTTAATATTTTTAAAATTATGTGCATACATGTGTGCATGGGTGAGTGCAGGTGCCCATGGAGCTGCATGTTTAATCCCCTGAAGCTGGAGTTACAGGTGGTTGTGAGTTGCCCAATGCAGGTGCTGGGAACCAAATCCCAGTCCCATAAGAGCACCCAGTGCCTTAACCACTGAGCCATCTATCTAGGCTCAGGTTTTGTTTTAAGTATTTGAGAGTCTGGTGTTGTCCCACGTAGAATAACTTCAAGAAAACAAATGAAAGAAAATAATTTTTCTTCAATAGAACTCATATGATAGAACTGATATGTAGAAACTTGTTATCAACAACTCATAGAGCCAAAGAACTATTATTTAATGTATGTCACACAAGTTGCTTAGGAGAATTGGTTTGCTGCTTTTGCAGAGGACCTGGGTTCAGGTCTCAGCATACAGGTGGTGGCTCGCAACAATTCATAACTCCAGCACTATGGGATCTAGCGCCCTCTTCTGGCTTCCATGGGCACTGCATACACACTGCATACACTTACACAGACCCACAAGTCAATGGCCTCACATAAATAAAAGATGGGACCTGGGCAGGGGGCGATAGCAGAGTTCCCCCAAGGCCCTGGATTTTCTCCACCCCCCACAGTGTTCATGCTCCAGAAGTCTGCAGAGCATACTTGCCCACTCTCCACTCAAATGCCACCTCCAGAGAGGTGTCATTGACTATCCCCTTTGAAACGACAACTCTCCCAACTCACCGAGTCCTCTTTCCTGCTTCATTTCTCTAGGAGTATTTACCCATTAACCATCTGTCCCATCCTGGCTGATTTGTATACCCATTCCTGCTATAGCTGGGGAAGGGTTTGGACAAATGCAAGGAAGGTACCTGGCCAAGAGCAGATGTCCAGTAAATATTTGTAGAATGAAAGAATGTACAAGTTAAAAAATATGTAAGTTTCTACTGCAGGAAAATAGCAGTGTTTCCTTTATGGAAGACTGACCCGTGTCTAGAAGTGCAGGTTGCTGAAGGACCACCCGATCTTACTGAGCACGAAGGAAAAGGCCCATGTTCCTAACATAAATGATAACCTAAAACTCATGCTGTGAAACCGCCAGTGTGTTATAAATATATGTCCTTTAGGATAATGGGGGCAGCTTTCAGACAGAACACTCACGGGCTTATTCACTCCCGCAGAGACTCTCTAAAAGGTTCTATCTCATCCACACTGAAGACAGCCAGTGACTGTGGCCTGGAAGAAGTGTGTGACAGGGAGACAGAGTGGGGGAAGCAGAGGCAGGCCTGAGGAGGTGCACTCACACTCACTCACACACACACACTCACAAACACACTCTCACAGACACACTCACTCACTCATACACACTCACACACACTCACTCAGACACACACTCACACTCACTCACACTCATCCACTCACACACTCACAGACACACTCACACACTCACTCACATACACACACTCACATACACATACACACACTCACAACACACACCCACTCACCCACTCACACCCACTCACCCACTCAACCCCACACCCACTTACACCAACTCACACCCACACCCACACCCACACACACCCACACCCACTCACCCACTCACACCCACTCACCCACTCAACCCCACACCCACACCCACTTACACCAACTCACACCCACACCCACTCACACCCACACACACCCACACTCACTCACACATACATCCACTCACACAAACCCACACTCACACACTCACACACACACTCACTCAGACACACACTCACACTCTCACATACACACACTCACACTCACTCACACACTCACACTCACTCACAGACACACACTCACATTCACTCACACACACTCACTCAAGACACACTCACACACTCACAGACACACACTCACACTCACACACTCACTCACAGACACACTCGCTCACACACACTCACTCAGACACACTCACACTCATACACACTCACACACACATACACTCTCTCATACACCCACACTCACTCACACACTAACAACACACACCCACACTCACTCACACACTCATACCCACACACTCACACATACACCCACTCACACAAACCCACACTCACACATACTCACTCACACACACACTCATACACTCACACACACACTCACTCACACACACTCACAACACTCACACCCACTCACTCACACTCACACCGAGGTCTGGCATGCCTACTCACTGTCAACACAAGCAAAACTTAAATAACCCCTCCTGGTTGTTTCACTTTTAACCCAAAACCAGATGAGTGGCTAGGTAACGACTCCAGATTCTAGCTTCACCTCCATCCTTTGCCCCAGGATTGTGTGGTGTGCCAGACAGCACATGCAACACTGGGTTATCTCCCCCCTTCTTGATAGGTAAGCTTTTCACGCTGTAAGGGCCACTAGGTTAGACGCTAATCCAGAGATGAGCTTGACCCACTTAAGGATGAACCAGCCCCCCCCCCACACACCTGAGGTGGCACATGGTCAGCAGCATAAGGAATTACCTGGGTTGTGGTCTACAGAGTTTATCTGAAGTTCTGGAATTTTTCCTAATTTTTCTTCCTATCAATGATGAGCCTTGTAGCACCTGTCTACAATCCCAGTGCTCAGAAGGCAGAGACAGAAGGACCCTGAGTTCAAGGTCAACTTGAGCTACATAGTGACACTGAAGTCAGTGCCCTACATGAGAGCTTTTGGGCCCAGGCATGGTGACACATGACTTTAATCTCGACACCTGGGAGGCAGCAGTAGGTAGATTTCTTCAAAGCCCAGCCTGTCTCCATGAGTTCTAGGCAAGCCAGGGCTTCACAGTGAGACTCTGACTCAAAAAAGAAAAGGCGGTAGGAAGGAGTTTTACGATAATGTTGTGTGAGATATGCACACCTCAGCTTCTCATGCACTGAGATTACAGCTTTGGGCCATTGCACCCAGCTGATGTTTGAGATTTGTTTGTTTGGGACAAGGTTTTGCAAAGTTGCCAGGCTGGTCTGGAACTTTCCATGTAGTCTGGGCTGGTCTCAAACTCACAGTTCTTGACTCAGTCTTCTAAATGTGCTCACTAACATTACACATTTGAAAAAGAGACTATATTCAGTGGTTATCACCATAACTAACATGTAGCTTTCCAAACAACAGACATTTTGTGAATGCTAATACCAAATTAGACACTGAGCAATGTTTAGTGGTACCTAGTGTTCCTTTGGAAAACGGTTCCAACTATGCTTGCCTTTCCCTTGCTCCTCTGGCTGCTCCCATCCCTACCCACCAATTGATCTCATAACCCATTATTTCTTTAGGAAAACAGAACCCACCAGAGGAACATTCACTCATCTTCCCACCTACAGAACTCCCCTCTGGGGCACACTGTCCTCTATTCTTCATATTCAGGGATCTGACATAGCACCTGACATGTCACCCACTGTTTCTCAGTGAATGTAGGATCCTCTTGACCCTGATGGTAGTCCTCCTACAATGGGGGCTGATCCTTAATCTCTTTTTGACTATTATGTCTCTACCAAATGTTGAAGCTCTCTGTTTCTCAGTCTAGCTGTCTTTGTGTGTGTGTGTGTGTGTGTGTGTGTGTATGTATGTATGTATGTATGTATGTATGTATGTATGTATGTGACACCTCACTTTTTGAGAGGGGGCTCTCAGCAAGTTCCAGGGATGCAACTGTCTCTTTCCCTTCCAACACTGGGATTATAGACAAATGCCAACACACCAGGATTTTACTTGGGTCCTGGAAACTCAAAGTGAGTAAATCTTTAGTTAACAGGGCACTCTGAAATATAACTACAACTATTCAAAGAATGGACCTTTATGCCACAGCAAGCCAAAGTATAAATTAATTTCTAAGTAAATTATTCAAACTGGCAGTTGTTATGATTACTACTAACTTATGTAAATTACTCTTTAGAAATTACACTCTCTCCTTTGGTTCTTATCAACAACTGAATGAGGTGAAAACAGAGACAATTATAGTCCTTTTATAGATAAGAAAGTCATGTCCTAAATCACCCAGGATCCAAATACTTCTGTCCATCAAATATTCTGTCTTCTGTAACCTATTACAGCTCATGTTGAATGATAGCTTTCTGTGCTAGGATTCTGAGCCTCTCTCATGTTCAGCATCTCCGTCTGCTTTAATCTAAATAACCTCAAGATGTTTGCTTTTCACTTTGTGCAGGCTGGAATGGTGCCTTATTACTTTTAATCCCAGTATTTGGAAGATGGAGGCAGGAGGATCATGAGTTTGAGGTCATCCTCAGCCATAGATAGCAAGTTTGAGACCATCCTAGACCAAATGAGGCCCTGTATAAAACAAAACAAAACAAAACAAAACAAAACAAAAAACGCCAAGGACGTGGCTCGGTTAGTACAAACACTGGCCTAGTTAGCAAACACAAAACAAGGCCTTCATCTAGTCCCAGTACTACTGGGAAACCTGTGTGCATGGGGCTTTGTATCAGCTTAAACTCAAAGTTCTGGACATAGAAGCTGGGCATGACACACATCTTTAAACCCAGCACTCAAGAGGCAGAGATAAGTAGAGCTCTGTGAGTTTGAGGCCAGTCTGGTCTACATCGACAATTACTGGACAGTCAGGGCTGCATAGAAAGACTCTGTCTCAAACAATTATTCCCCAAACGTGCTAGAGAATAGGAAGTAAAGTTATGTTCTTTGCAGACTCTAGAAACAGCTATAAAAACGCTCTCCAAGAAAGTGTTGCAGCAATTTTTGTCGGGAGAGAGCAGGGAGGATCTGGAGAGGGCACCTCGCTTCCACCGGTCCCCGCCGGTGAGGACCGGGACCAGCCGTCAGCCCAATCCCGGCTCCCACATTACCGACGCCCGCGCCGGCCGCATCCCTGTCTTCTGTTCCTCCTCCACGGCCGCCGCCAACGCCGTCGCCACCAAGGACTCTAAGGTGTCTTCGCGTTCGTACTGGGCGACCCTTGCTCCAGTGGTGGGATTCACCGGCAGGTGGAGACTGGCGGCCGCAAGCCTGGCCGCCCGGTGTGAGAAAGCCATAGCCCCGCCTCGAGCCCGAGCGCCCGCGCCGGCTCGGGGCGGGTGAGCTGGCGCCGCCCCGGACCTCGCAGATCCTGGTTTGGGGCGGGCGGTTACTAGGGGCTCGGTTACTAGGGACGCTACAGGAGGTGCGAGGGTCCAAAAAACACACAATGTCCTTTCTCATTGTCACAAATCCGAGCCCTCAACAACTAAAATCTAATGGTTTCTGACACAGCCTGCGGTTAACGGGGCATTCTAGAAGCATAACCATCTGAAGCTACACAAATGACCACCACAGCAAGCCAAAATAAAACAATTTTCAAGAGAGTTGCTCAATGATAGTCTCATCGGCGCCGAGATCATTCACGTGAATGAGACCCAGCCCTCCGGCTAGGGACTGAGCCTTTCTCTGGTTTCTTGCTTTATTTCGGTCTAACCACCGAAACCGGTACTTCTCACAGCATACAGCTTTGAGCAGAAAGAGCGCGTTTTTACTAACTGAATCAACATATTGGGGCACAGCGGAACAGGAAAGCACTGACTGTTGTGTGACAGCTCTAGAAAAGGACAGGCTTTGCAGCACGCCAGCCAACATGGCAGAGAGCGAGATCCATCTCTAATTGACAAGAACCAATCAGAAGGAGAATACTTAGTTATCCCGCCCTCTTTTCTTTCGGCTGACCAGTAAGAGGCCAGACATCGGAAGCGCCTGTAGCGACAGCCAGTGAGTGACGCAGGTAGATTGCCTCGGGTTCTGCGGCTAGCTAGGTGCAGGACTGGAAATGCGGAGAGAGCCCACAGGGACCACACCCTCCCAATTCACCCCGCCAACCTTCCGATCAGCTTTAGGCTTCTTCGGGTGATCTCTCAACGGTGAAGTCTCAGCCACCTGCGACCTAACACTTCTACCCAGCTAACGCCCCTGTCCCCGACATAAGGTTCCAGTAGTTTCCGCATTATGCGGCACACCTACAGAACGCACACGCCACCAGGCCTTCCTTGTTCGCCTGTCTATGCACGAGCACCTGTGAAGTCTCCATCACCCCACCTTCCTCAGCTCTTGTTTTGGCTGAGCGTGCTTCTCCCAACGGATAAGTCAGAGGTGGGTGGGATCCGTAGTCGTTCAACGGACAGAATAGTGACTTACTGCCAACCACATGCAGACTGAAGCCCTGTAAGTGGGTAGCTTGAAGAAAATAAACTAGTATACAGGACATGCGTGTGTACACAGTTCACTGACAGCATTCTAAATTTGCACACTTGTAGTAACATAAGACTATGGAGCACAAATGGGCATCATCGTATTACTGCTTTTGTACTTTTGTACTGAAATGTAACTACACAGGACAGTGAAATGAACAGTTTTGAATGTAGAATTACATGAATTCTGACAAGAGTGAATAACCCTGATTTTATGGCCTCATTAAAATACAAAACTTTGGCCAGGCATGGTGGTGCACGTCTTTAACCCCAACACTTGGGAAGCAGAGGCAGGCAGATCTCTGTGGGTTTGAGGGGCACCCTGATCTACAGCGTGTTTCAGGTCAGCCAGGGCTACATAGAGAGACCTTGTCTCAATAAATAAAGACACAAAATGAAAAAAAAAAACTGTGCCCCACCCCCAGTTTATTAGCTTCTCATCCCCAACCCCCAATTGTTATTTTTTCGATCTGGATTATTTTCTTTTTCTTTCTTTCCTTCTCTTCCTTCCTCACTTTCCTTTTGTTGTGCTGTGTATCAAACAAAGGGCTCCAAGCACACACAACACGCAAGTGCTCTGTCACTGAGTCACATCTGCAGCCACACTCAGTTTCTTTTTGTTCAGCATAATGTTTTCTTTATAAAGATTCATGCATGCTTTGTGTTCCTCTTAAATTCCAAGCTAATAAGCTGGGTGTTGGTGGTGCACACCTTTAATTTCAGCACTTGAGAGGCGGAGGCAGGCGGATCTCTGCGAGTTCAAGGTCAGCCTGGTCCACAAAGTGAGTTCCAGGACAGGTTCAAAAACAATACAGGGAAACCCTGATTTGAAAAACAAAACAAAAATGTCCAAGAGAGTATTTTCTGCTGAAACAGTTTTCTGATACTGGAAGAAATTCCCTGAAATTTATGCTATTCACTACCATGCAAAGGTTTTTAATTATTATGTTTTTTTGGAGACAGTGTTTCTCTGTGTAGTCCTGGCTATCCTGGAACTCAATCTGTAGTCCAGGCTGGCCTTGAACTCAGAGAACCTCCTGTTTCTACCTCCTGAGTGCTGGGTCTAAAGGTGTGTGCCACCACCCAGCCAATTTTACATTTAATCTGCAGCATTAACATTTTCTGCCACTTAGAAATGTGTGTATGTGTGTGTGTGTGTGTTTGCAGGTGTGTGCTGTGTTGTGTACCATGGTGGGAATGTAGAGGTCAGAGAGCAGCTTCCAGGGGGCAGGTTTTCCTTCACCTTGCCAAGGCAAGATCTCTGGTGTTATTTCTGCTTGCTGTGCTGTGCACTCCAGGCTAGTTTCTGGATTGTTCTGTTTCTGCCTCCCCTCTCTTTACAGGCCTGCTGGTATTATAGGTTCATGACAACATTCAGCTTTTTACATGGGTTCTGGGGTTGAACTCAGGTGGTCAGGCTTGTGTAGCTATTGTGTTTACTTGCTGAGCTGTCTCCCTGGCCCATTTTCTTAAGTTTATGTTTATTAATTTTTATTGGAAAATTGAACCTTGTCACCCCCTTTTTTTCTATCAAATTATATCTTCTAGAAAGCAGCTATCAGAAAAAATAAGAATTATGAGATTTACTGAAGGAAAAGCTTTTAAAGGTAAAATAAGAAAACCATCAGGGAAAGACACAATTATGATACCTTATTAACACATGCTCTCCTACTGAGTACCACCACCAACACCACCTGAGATTCTTCTGCCCAATTTTGCATTTGAAAGTGATCACTTTCAAACATGTTTCTGTTGCCTAAATGGCAAAATACTAAAACTACGTGGATGGTAATCTTCACCTTATTCCTTAAACTTTCCTCAGTCCTAAAAAGCTTTAATAAAGTGAAAGAAATAGCCATTTAAATGTAAGCACACAATCTTTGCAGCTTTAGCTGTTCTAGCCTTGTACATGAGTAATTAAGAGTATCCTTTTAAATCTGACAGGGTAACTTTGGATGAGCCTACAACAGTTGGATTAGACTGCCATTGTGAGCTGCTGTGCTATAAATCCTACATCAAATTTTACATAAGCAGGAGTTAGCAAGCCTTTTTTTTAAGGAGAGTCCTCTTGCAAAACTGTCAAACCAGTTACCTATTTAAAGATGTAAGTAATGGATAACATATCTACAATATGTTAGAATAGTGTTTTCACTTAAGTTTCTAAAGATATATCTGATCTGTTTAACTATCACTTAAAATGAAAGAAAAAACTAAATTCTGCACGATCCAAAGATCCTTCTCTCTGACCAGACTTCTTAGATTCTGTGACTATACAGGGCAAAATGTAGCTTACCTTAAAGTCAGGCCTTTACTCAATGGTGTGAAAGTATTCCAGGGAAGTAGCTATTAAGTTTTAAAAGCTCACTCCCTAAAATGAACACAAATTAAGACTGGTAAGTAGTTAAAATGTAGAGTCAAGGTGATTTTACAACAAACATGGTGAGATATTATGCCTGAAATATAGTGGTGGCAATAAAAAGTGAAGACCGTTTGAATATGCAAAATGTGTCACATTGCACACTGGCTTTCTAAGAATCTGAACATGAAATCAGTTTCTAAAGATCTCTACCACTGCGCCATCCCTTAGACCATAATACTCTACAGGGAACCTAATTGTCACTACCTGGAGAAAGACTAACATGGGTAATGATATGCTTCTTTTTTATCTTCTTTATTTTAAATAACATATATATTATACTTTGATATTTCTATGGAAATGGGCACTCATGGATTCAATGAAATGTCCCCACAGTTACCAGTATACAAATACCCAACCCCTAGTCAGTGTCACTGTTCAAATAGGCTTGTAAGGTATGGCCTTCTAATGTTCCTTGGGGAGAACAGGCTTGAGTGTTCTGCTTTGTACTTGCAGTTCAAAGTGTGAGCCCTCAGCTTCCATGCCTCCTGCTTTGCCTTATGTATATGCACCATGTGCATGCAGTGCCTGTAGAGGTCGGAATGGTTACAGATCTGAAACTGGAGTTCCGGATGGTTGTGAACCACCATGTGTTGCTGAGAACTGAATCCAGGTCCTTTGCAAGAACAGCAGATGATCTTAACTGAGACACCATCTCTCTAGCCTCATGACTGTGGACATTTTTTGTTGTTGTTTTGTTTTTTGAGACAGGGTTTCTGTGTAGCTTTGGAGACTGTCCTGGAACTCACTCTGTAGACCAGGCTGGCCTCAACTCACAGAGATCTGCCTGTCTCTGCCTCTGGGATTAAAGACATGCGCCACCAACACCCAGCTGACTGTGGACAATTTTTTAAAAAATGATGTACATGTACTATTTCTTTCTGTGCATTGTTGTTTTGCCTGCCATGTGTCTGTGTAAGCATGTTGGATCCCCTGGAACTGGAGGTACAGTTGTTGAGTGCTGGGAGTTGAACCCAGGTCCTCTGGAAAAGCAGTCAGTGCTCTTCATTACTGAGGCATCTCTCCAGCCCCATTTCTCTCTCGTTTTCTACCATGGACTCTTAACCCTCTGGAACTGTAAGTCCATAATAAATTCTTTTCTACAAATTGCCTTGGTCATATAGTATGTTATGATGGGAGATGCCATTTATAAATGTTTCTTATTGGTTAATGAATGAAGCACTGTTGGCCAATAGGAAAGCAAGATAGGAGGGACTAAAGACAAGTAGGGTTCAGAGAGAAGTAGGAGAGACTCAATGTGATCTCAGGAGAGGACGTACTTGGATCTGGCATTCATGGTAAGATAAAACCATGTAGAAATACAGGTATTAGTAACTATAGACTAATATTTAAGACAGAGCTAGACATTAAGAAGCTTTTTTTAAATTTTGGGACTGATGTG